AGACCATTTCTCTCTCTTTTCTGAACTGATAGTCCAGAGGGACTGTAAGGCAGAGTAAGCTGCCTAAGGTGAGTGTGGTCTGAAGTTCAGTGGGCCGATCCTTTCCCTTGAGATAATCTGGGTATCAACAAGTCCCTCCACTTGCCAATACAGCTAATGAGCAGTAGCCTTGCTTACCTATCAAAACATCAGAAACAATGCTTGGTAATTCTCAATGCAAATACAATTTGCATTGAGTTCAGCAATAAATATCCTGCTGATATGGCTGCAGTGAATACACAGGTATTCCAGAATTACTCAGCTTTTTGAAATCTGGTTTTGGATGCATCTTGGTTCTCTTCCAGGATGTACGGTGGGAGGCCAGAGATCAAGTGGGCAGAAAATGAAAGGGGAGCAATATTCAGGAAACTTCCTGCTCTCTGCATGGAGGAAGATTCAAAGGAAAATTGTGGTGAAAATTTGCCATGATGGACTGAGAGAAGAAGAAAGATGATACCAGGGATGGTAAACAAAGACAGGAAATAGCCTGCTGGTGGTGTTAGTTCTTGATTAGGAGCCCGTTAAGCTTTGGCTAGAGGGCTAAACCCAAGGAGACATTTTGTCAGCCCAAATGTGGAGAGAAAACAGAAAGACAATAGAACAATTAGACAGAGGAAGAGAGCAGAAGTGAACAAACATATTGCCCCTATTATGACACACAGCTAGAGCTTTGTAGCAATGCTGTCCAGCTGCCTTTAGACTAACTGAAAATGAGAAAATAAATCAAACTTTCTTTTGACTGTCAAGGGTAAAGAGAGAACTGTTTCTTTTTCAGCCACTGTTAACCTGATAGCTTGCCTCAGTGTATTTCACATAAGGAAGTCTGTAAAGCAACCTCTAAGTGTTCCTTGTGATTAATATTCCTTATGATCTCCAGCCACCTAATCGCATACTGACCTCAGTGAGGGTCAGCTGTGGGAAGGGATGGGCTGTGGGAGCAGGGTGGGCTACCAGGAGGTGCTGGTGAACGATGGAGCAGCTGGAGGGAAAAGGAAAACCATTGCAGACCTGAATAAATAGTGGCAAACCAAAGGCACTGACCTCAGGAATAATGCCATGGGTCCAGAGCTGCACAGATCTACACTGAAAGAAGTGGAACAGTCCTTCCCTGATGTCCACATGCACCAAGTGTAGGATATGCTATTTTTTTTCCCTCCAATTTAATCCCAAAAGCTGTAGCATGAAATGCGGTGTTATCTTGTGAGGCAAAGTGTTAACTCTGAAGGGACTCCCAGGATGCATGAGCCAGTGCTCGGACTGCCAGACATGCTGTATAATGTAGAGTAGATGTTCTGTGTTTCATGGCTAATTCTTGCATTCTGAATTAAAAGCACGTGGTAGCAAAATTTCCTGTATATTTTTTTTCAGGACCTGGATGCTTTCCTGGACATCTAACAGCCTGCACTGTTAGGTCCAGACAGGTGCCTGCCTCTCACATCCACACACACTCTGTGGGCACAGCTGGACTGAGCCAGAGGTCAGAGCTGCTGGTCTGCTGGACATAGTGCCCGTGGATATCATGTGGATGGATGTCACATTACGTCGATGAGACTCACTGGATCAGATACATTGATCCATGCCCATTTTCTTTGCAGTCTGAGGTTTCTCTCAGCAGGCACTGTTTGATGGCCTGGGACCATGCAGATCTCCAAACCAACAGGTTACTCAGGGTATCCCAAATCCTTAATATGCATCTGAAATTTCTTTTTAACAGAGCACCTTTAACTAAGGCTGCTTATAAGGAAATTTGTTACCAATCTGATCTATTTCCTCATTTTAATCTTTTCCTCAGAAAGTGCTCATTGGAATGCCCAATTCAAAAAAATGGCATTGAAATGACTACTAGTTCACCTGAAAAAAAATGTGGAAATCTGAACTGGTACATGGCACACACTTTTGTTTCACCTTGAAGCCAAAAAAAAAAAAAAAAAAAAAAAAAAAGAAAAAGCTCTAATTCAGAAAAAAATCTCTATTTCCATTTTTCATGTATGCAAATTACACTCTGAATAAATAAATCTACATAATCTTACCTCCCTGCTAGACAACTTGCAGTAACGTTTGCCAAGAGAAAGACAGGCTTTTCTAATACTAATGCATAAAACATGCTGAATAAAAAATAAATAAATAAAAAAATAAAACAAATCATATTGAGTAAATAGCTGCTGTGCAGCTCTGGAAAGAATAATACAGGGATTGATGAGTTACTCAGGACTGTCTTCTTCAATTATTTCCGTGTTACCAGTTAAGGGTATATTTAAGATAAAGTTTTAATTAAGATGGTCATATCCTGAACCACTGAAAGCTATAGGATTTTTTCTTTAATTTCCTTGGAACAGGAGTGTAGATCTCTCTGATGAAGCACGTGGGAATGTCAGGCTGTTGGTCCTGGACAATCAATCTATTCAGCATATACCTGAGTTACTGTGCAGGGGCTACAGCTCCAGGAAAGCAGATCTCTTGTTCTGTTTTGGGAATGTAGGAATTGCCTTCTCCAATTTGATCAAAACTTTTCCTTGGTATGTGTGCCCATGTTTGTCCTGGTGGCAATAAGGATTGCCAGTGGGCTTGGGACTGCAATAAGGGAAGGATAAAACAAAACCCAGTGGCAGCATGTTTTGATTGATTAGGTATCAGGGCCCTTTTCCCACTCTGACTGCATAAGGTAGATGCTGAAAGGCAGCTCTTACTCTTGATGGTCCATCTAGAATCAGTCAAACACCAATCATATTTCAGGGTTGGATGTTCTCTAACCTTTTAAATATCTTTTCACACTGGAAAAATTATTCTGGAAAGCTGAGTCATTATGCTCTTTTCTCTAAAGAATTAAGAGACATCAGTGGGGCTAGGTTCACCAAAAGGCTCAAGGATTACAAATTTCATCACCTAAATTTTAGATGCTGTAATGCTTTGTGGAATTCAGAAATTGCTCTTCTCAGTGGAGAAGCATGTGGAAGTTCTTTATTTGGCATGTGGGATGTCACCCACCTCAACCAACTCCTAGGACCTTTTATTGCAAGGTCTGGTTTGGAGACTGCCTTGCAGATCGGCTCCTTCAGGAGGTGTAGGATGGGCATATATCCACTAGACAAACATGGCATGGCAGATACCTGTGTCCTTGGGAACATTACTAACAAGGGGTTAAAGATTTTCCCGAATTACAGTGAGGTTTCATCTGGTAGAAAGGCTAGATAATCTGGTATATATTTCAGGCTTCCAAAACTTGTGGTATTAGATTTAAAACAATAGATTTAATGCTTCTGTTTTAAAATCCTTTATTTTAAAGTCATCTTACTAGTAAAATAAATATGAAATTATTTGTGTTTATATTTTCAAGTTCCTGTATCCAATTGTTTGGGATATACATTTATTTTTCTTTGTTTAAATGAGAGCCAAGCTCCTTATTTACTCACAACACTCCAGAAATCACAGATTTAAAAGAATCTTCAAAAATCTTAAGATTCATGATAAGCGGAGGAGGATTTGGCACTACAGTTTTTGTGACAACATAAGATTAAATTTGGCCTACTGGTGATTCGAAACACTCAGTTCCACAGATGCAAAATGCAAAGGAGGACCTACGACTCGACCTGAGACAGACTGTGGTCAGTCACTGTATAAATAAGACACTGCTTCAAAGTCTGAGTCAGGAGTCTTCATTTTCCTTGTTCCCCTATGCCAGCCCTATCCCCTAGGGAAATACAGATTCTTCTCTCTGCTGGCACCCCCTAAGCAGCATCTGGGTAGAGAAAAAGGAGAAAAGGGGTTGGAAAGGACTGTGGGATCTTTTTTTTTTTTTTTTTTTTTTTTTTCCACAGCAGATATGTAGGTAAAGTTGCCAAAACAAATTCAAGCTGTTTCCTGCTCCAGGGCTGCTTGAAGCTGTTTGTCAATAGCAGTTTCCAAGTTATGTTTTTCCTTAGAAAATTTGGGTGCAGTCAAGCATCTTTATATTCCCGAACATGCTGCAAAGTTCATAGTTTAGTTCTTGGTAAGAGAAAAAATAGAGGGCTTGAATAAGGGCCTTAGTGATGCGTGATCACAGATCTGTGCCAGTTTTTGATGTGGCAGACCTCTATCCACTTTATGACTTTATCTGTGCTCTCTGCTGAGAGCAGGATATCTGTCATTTGAACTTTCTGTTCATTGTTTGTCCAATATTAAATCCAGGACACGGTCTAACCCAGCTGTGCAAGCCATTGTCTCATGAACCAGCCCCTTGCAGACCAAGAAAAAAGGCAGCTCTGGCAAGGCAGCAGCTCTGCTATGAGTCGGGCACCTCGAGAGGAGCCATCAGGGCACCATGTGCGCACGTGCTCAGGGTGCTGAGTGCTGAATTTTGCCTTTGCTTATGCCACTGATGGGGTCCAGCACCCAGCCCAATGGGGTATTTCAAAGCTCTGGTTCTTGTGTGACATTCTGGGTTTTGCTGAGCGGCTTGGTGATGGTCTTCAGGACGTTTCCTTGCTTCTTGGAGGTGAACGGGTTGCCCAGGGAGCTGGTGGCGTCACCGTCCCTGGGGGTGTTCAAGGAAAGGTTGGACGTGGTGCTTAGGAACAGGGTTTAGTGGGTGACACTGGTGGTAGGGGTGGTTGGACGGGATGATACTGGAGGGCTTTTCCAACCCTATTGGTTCTGAGGGTTTCCAATTAGGGTTTCCAACCCTAATGGCGCTGGGTTCGAAACAGAGAGCCGGGTTACAGCTCAGATGGGCAGAAGGCTGATACTCGGAGTTTATAAACGTAGGGATTATAGATATAGGGTTTGTAAATACGAGTCAACAGCGAAGGAATGTAACAACCCTGTGTATGCGCTTGGTGTGGGGCTGCCCCACACGACGGGGCCATGAGGGGACCCCTGGGCGGGAACCCGCAGGTGCGGGGGGGCGGGGCCAGGGCTGGCGGCGGGCGGGGCGGGGCTGGCGGGGAGGGGGCGGGGCTTGCAGCCGGCCGCCGCCGCGCAGGCGCAGTGCGGGCCGCGCCCCGGCGCCATCCCCTCAGTGTCGGCGCGGCGCGGTGAGGGCAGGGCCGGGCTGGGCCGGGCTGTGCGGGGCCGCTCCGGGCATGGCGGAGAAGAAGCAGCCGGTGGACCTGGGGCTCCTGGAGGAGGACGACGAGTTCGAGGAGTTCCCGGCGGAAGGTGCCCGGCGGGGGTGGGGAGAGGGGCGGCGGCGGCGGGGGGGGGGGGGTGCGGCCTGCAGGCCGCCGGGCCTGAGGGGCCTGAGGCCTGGCTGGGGGGGGTGGGGGGGGGGGCAGGGCGCTGTCAGGGCGGCTCCGGGACCCCCGTGGGGATGGGGGGGGTCGGGGCCAGGCATGGGGAGCCCCCCAGGGCCTGCCGGGAGCGAGAAGTGCTGGGTCATGGGCTGCGGGCAGCGGTGGGAGCCCTGAGGTGGAAATGAGGCGAGGGGGGAGCAGCTGCGCGCTGTGACCGCCTCACATCGCGGCTTTCCCGGCGCTGCTGCTGCTGTGGGTACGAAATGTATCGAGAGAGGGAGTTAGGAGAGTTTGGGCCTCAATAATAGAACGCCCCATTGGGCTTTTGTAGCAATTTTATAGCAATATAGCCTTGGAAAGCACCATATTAGGGCACGGTTCTTCGCTGTGTGCTTAATTCTGCCAGTGTCTCAAGCTGTGGGCGGTGATAAATGTGTACGGCATGGGTGAAATGGTTATTGGGCTCTACCATCATCCTTATACGTGACATTTCTGTGGCCATACAGCCCTTACATATTCTGAAAATACTGTTTGCACTTAGAGTGAAAGAAGTTAGTGATGTAGCTGAGATGGTAGTTAAACTGAGAGGACCAGCCCTTTCTTCTTTATATGCTCCCTAAAGGTGCAAAAAAGGTTTATTTATTGTAAATTGAGTATTAGCTGTGAGCGTGAAGGAAGCCTTGAAGCATACTTCTGAACCTCAGATTGGCCACTGCACTCAGTGGCTGTCACAGCACTTGCTCCTAAGCCTTGTAGTGCTAAGAGTCTCCATTTGGTGTTTGCTGCTGATTTGAGTCTTTGTACTGATCTCAACTCCATCTTAAAATGCTGTGCCTTTAAGTTTCTCTTATTGTCAACAGCAGAAACTTTTTCATGATTTTATCTTCTCATTCAGTAATTTTTTTTTCACAAGAATTTTCAGACCACATTGAAAGTTATCATCAGTTGCTTAGGAAAGAGTCATGATAAATCTCTGATGAACCCCCTGTCAGATTGTTGTTCTTTCACATTAAAGCACCACTTCCTATACAGCAAAAAATCTTCAAGTTCTGTTGACGTGTTTTATTCTGAAGGAAATTAGGTGATGCAAACTTATATCACAGACAAAAATACTGGCATTTGGGGAACATCTACTTGGATTTTTTTTTTCTTGAAACAGTTTATCAATTCAAGTTTGAAATGATAAAATCCCAAACAGATGTGTCCTTTTTTATTTGAAATATTTCCTGACAAGTTCAAGCATGTGTGAACTCATTACTTACAAACTTATGTACAGTGCTTCTCAGAATGTAAAACATAATGTGAAAATTGCTAGGATTTTGGGTTATCTTCTACTCTGAAAACCACTTTGCTTCCCTCTCCCAAGTACAAAATATGGCAAGAAGTTATCATTATATAAAAATAATTTTTAAGGAGTCCAGCCGTGACAAGTTGATCAGAATCAACATGCTGCTGCTATTGTCACTGTACACCAGAATTCCCAAGTCCAATATTCTCCATGCTTCAAAGCGCAGATAATTCTACAGCACTCCTTACTGTTATTCCTACACAGGCGTGTGATGTTGCTGGAACGATTTTAGTGTGGATTTCAGGGGTATAGTGTCAGCATACACACTGCAGAATGTCATGGCTACACCAAGAAAGATATAATTTAGGCTTTACTTCACTATCTTTTTTTTTTTTCTCTCCCAGCTTCTGTTGTGGAAAAAGACACAGCCTTTTTGACTCCTCTTTGCTCACTGTGATTTGGAACACGCTTCCCCAGTCTCCCCAGCTCCTTTATGGTTGAAGCTGAATTTTTTGTGCTGGATACTAGTTACTATGAAATATACATTTTTTTTAAACTTTAAAACCTGAGCTACTTACACTAGTACATAGAAAAGCTTGACTTTGGTGTTCATTTAAAGCTGGTTTGAGCTGTGTTTTTTGTATTTTTAAAGTCCAGCTAGTGTTATGACCAGTAAAGTCTTTCTTTTGACCAAAAAAAAAGCTCATTACATATAAATTGGAAGAGCTTCTTGTAAGTAGTATTAAAATGAAACCCTTCCCTTTGAGTAGTGAGCAGTATGCTAGCCTCAAATACTGCATTCTCTTATGCTGCAGTTTTCCTTCACCTTTTCTTCCCAGTTCCTTCCTGTGCTCTCTCTAAAATCAGTAGGATTTCTATGTTCCTTTGTCATTTCCCTTTATATAATTTATTTGAGAAGGGGAGTTTAATTGTAATGTCTTCTACATCTGTGTCTTTAATCAGTTACAAATGTTTTTTTCCTGTTCTGGTGAATCTCAAGCATGATTTTTTTTTTTTTGCCTGTCTACATTAAAAATGCAAGGAAGAACGCACAGACCAACCTTCATTCTTATGAATAAAGTTGTTCACTGAGAATTAGTTCTTAATCTTTTACCCTAATAGCTCTTTTTTTTCCATCTGTCTGTCCATGTTTAATGTTACTTTGGCCCTTAGACCTCAAAGCTTTCTCTGAGTGGGCAGCAGATGGCTTACTGAATCGTAAAGGCTTTGGGGAAGAGGGGAAGAATAGCGTTATGTCTTTAAATATACCAGGAGGCTTTGAGAAATATGAGGTTGTGATTCTTTTTATTTTGGTAACATTAGAAAAAGTTACTGTTTGTCAGCAAAAGATAGCTGAAAAATTGTGATGGGATAGTTCCCAAATGAAGTAAACTGACTTGTGTTTACAAAAACATTCTGAGCCTTTCTGATTTCTCATTTTTCTTATTTTTCTGCACTACCAAGTTAGATTTTTTTATTATGAACTATCAAGCGGGTGATCAGTAATTTGTCAAGAGTGGTGTGCCAGGTTATTTTATTATAGGAAAAATAGAAATTAGGTTAGCAAATGGACTTCCAGCGTCTTGCTGCTGTGAAGAAATGGCTTCTACTATTTTTGGAACCCAGAAGTAGCTGGTTACTGGTAGCAACTGCCGTTGGCAGGTGCATCTTTCAATTTGCCTTTGCTTCTGCATCACAGATACGTTTTTGGCATTTATCCATAGCCTGTCAACGTCCGATGTGAGTGAATGGAGGATCTGAGTGTGTGTGTGTTTTGGCACAAGTGTTTGACGTACATTGCTTTTAATTGTGAGGGGAGAAAGAGGAAATGCAAACCCGGAACTGCACACCTCTTGTTGTGATTTTAGGAGTCAAATACTCAGTGTTTCTCTTCTCGTACTCTGGTGCTACAATTTATCTCTATGTATGCAAAATGTCCCTTCGGAGTGTGTAATCCTGCAAGCCATGGTGTGTAGTGTATAATTATTTTCCTACCAAGTTATATTTTTGTCATAATTCAGGATTTAAAAAAAAAATCTCACTGTACTGTTTAGTCTCAAATACTTAAGTATGATCTGAACATCTCTGTTATAGAGGGAAATTTGTTACCATTTGAAGCCCGCCTTACCCAGAAGCTGAGCTAATCAGTCAATAAGATGTGGTACTGAAGCAATGCAGCATAAAATATTTACCTTTTTTTCCTGCCTTTAGATTGGACTGGTTTAGATGAAGATGAAGATGCTCATGTCTGGGAAGACAACTGGGATGATGACAATGTAGAAGATGATTTCTCCAATCAGTTAAGGTAATTTGATTTTTAACTTACTGTTCTAGAAGCTGGATGAAATGTTTTAAACTGCACTGTTTAGTTGTTAATATCTGAAAGTTCTGCTTACTTTTAAAAAGAGGTCTGAAAAGAGGAATAAATGAAGGCTCTGCTTTGTGTTTATCTACCTAAAAGCCTTTCTGAACCAGACTTAAGGGATTACAGAACAATTGAGAGTACTGATGAGCATTTCATCTCTTAAAAATTGAACTGTGCATCCTGAGATATGCCTCATATCATCAATATGCTCAGGCTTTTGTGGTGTTACACAGCTTAAGACAGCACAAAGATGTGGAAAATCTGAATTGTGCTGCAATGGCTAATGGCAAGGGAGACAGGATTCTTTCTTCTGTGCTGTATGGTATGCAAAGTGTGGTAGTATATTTTTTTCCATACCTTCAAATAGTATTGCTGTTCTGTGACCAAATAAACAACTGGAAAATTTTGCCTAGAGCTCCCCTCTCGTGTGTTAAAGAGCATGCTGTTTGTGAGCAGTGATAGCAAAGCAGTGTTTATAACATCCTCTGAAAAGTGATAGCAATTCAGGTACCTCTAATCCTGTTGTTTAGTCTTCTTGGTCACTTGTAGCTTCGGTTAATCCTTTTAGTGATGTGTAATTATAACTTAAGTTGTTTTAAGAGTCAATACAAATTCACACTTTATAATTAGTCCTTCAGTATGTTGCATGCAGCGCAGCCTTCTGTAATACAGCCTGATTAAATGCTTCCTGGGATGATCTCTTGTAAAGGGAAAAAGTGGCCCTTTGTGTAACAGGCACAAGATGAAGCCTTTTGGTATGGTCCGTGTTTATAAGGCTGAAAGGCAATAAAATTGTAATACTGGAAAAGATGTTATTATGTAGTGAAACACAGACCTTAAAGGTGTGGCATAATTCTTGTTTACCACGTAGTTAACACGATAAGTTTTCAATCTACATCTTATAGCCTGTAGTGTTGGTGACCAGATACTTGTCTTAAAAAGATAGTTGGCAGTGTTGCTTTGTTGCAGAATATTTTTATTTCATCTTCAGAAAGAAAATGCAGCAGTTCTTCACTTCTAAAGTTAAAATGGCACATATGTAAACTAACCTGAGACGTAGACCCACAGTGTCTAGGTACACATGTGCTAACACTGGGATATAAAATGGTGTAGCTCTGGTTGGTGTGCCGGAGGCAGGTAGGAGGTGAAGTGGGGACAGGTTATGGGAAATAACCTTTGCTGTTGCTGACCTGCTGCCACAGCCAAGGTGAACAAAACAATCCTTTCTTCTCAGAATTCATTGCACCAAGATATTAAAATAGTGCTGATACAAAAGTATGTAAGGCAAATTTTGGAAGTACGTGCATTTAAATTGCTTAGATTAGTGAGTTCATTGAGTTTTAAGGAAATTTTAGGGATAACCAGTATAAGACAATACAATTTTTTTCCTAATGTGTTGTTACTGTCTTAGAGGTGCTGCTTTGCAGCATAAAGTTGTCCTTCAGCAAGAGTGGGGCAGAGGATAAGTAAATGTGATTAAAACAAATGTTGGAATTTTTCATATGGGATTTACTTCTAGTGATCCAAAGACATTAAGATGAAGTTGAACTGTAAAACAAGTGAGGTTAAGGTTATTAATGTGAATCAGGAAGCAGTGTTACATGTTCATGATATTTCTAAAATGGTAATATATTGTGCAGGGTACTTCATTTTGAAAAAATGCAGATGTCTGGCTATTGTATATTTTAATATACCCATCTTTTTTTTCTACAGAGCTGAATTAGAAAAACATGGATACAAAATGGAAACGTCATAGTTTTTGCTGATACGGAACAAACATTGAACTGTGGATAGACTATATTGAGAAAACATGGAAAGTGAGAAGACAGTAACATTATCTGCTTGGATTACTTATTGTTTTGTATGAAAAATAAAGTTTTTAATCTTAGCCGAAGTCATATGTTCAGCCTCTGCTAAACTGGTAACCTGTATTTCGGTTCTTAAATGCTTTGTGTGACAGCTCACAGAGAATGCTACTGGAGATCTCTCAGTGGCTGATGTTATTGCACCAGCTCCAGTGATGGGGAGTCAAATAAGCATGACCACAATGCAAACTACTGAACATCTCTGTCATAAGTGATGTGGAGTGTTTAAGAAAAGAAATCATGAAAGAAATAAAATGCTTCTGTATTCCAGTCAAAATGCAGCAGAGGTAGAAAGGATTCTTAGGGAGTAAAGTAATAAAGCTCATTTTGCCTTAAGGTTTTATTTCATAATGGTTTGGGGTTTTTGTTAGGAATTTAATGTGAGTACCAGTTTGATCGCCTTGGAGATAAAACCCACTTTTAAAGTGTGTCTTACAACAGCAGAAATCCAAATTCTACAATTTTGTCCTGTCATTTCTCAACTTCGGTAAAGAAGAGACCTCTGTGGAGGCGAGAAAAGTTCTGTTCTCATACTTACTTAATCCTAGGAATCTCTGCTGAAATTGCCTCCAATTTGCCAGTTACAGCAGTTCATCTGTATCACACAAATGCCTGCTGAGAACGGAAATCAAACTTCCAACTCATTTCATGGAGGCCAACAAATAGTTGCCAGATAGATACAATGGTAGTGACTGGATTCGATTACTCTCTGAACTAGAAAACAGAAGGTGGAAATTACAAAACCTATTACCAATTCCATGAATCCTCCCCAAAGGAGCTGTTAAAGCTGGTGTACGCAAAGACAGAGGGAGATATGGTAATTCTGGAAATGTAGGCCATGATTGCAAATAAAGTCTTTTTTATAATAAAGGGACAAATATGGCTGTGTACTTACGGAACTCAAATTTGCTTTTTCAGTTTATTGCAGAGGAACGGGATTTTTTTTAAGTGAGTTTTCAGAATAAACGTATTAGGTGATGGATATGCTCTAATGGTATTAAATGCTTTCTTTAACCCCGTTCACTAATTAACAGTGTCTTAACTGCATGTATTAATGCAAAATGCTAGGAAGATGACAAAAGCAAATATCTCCTCCCCCAAGTTTAGGTGATAGTGTATTTGTGGTGGAGGAAAGATTTGCTGGGTTTCTTACTGGGAAAAGAAAGGGAGGCATCTTCAGGTAGACTGTCGTTGGCTTGAGTAAGTGGCTGGTTGTGATGGAAATACGCAGCCAGTACAGCTCCTTTCAGAAGAATGCAAAGCACCAAGTTCATATTTTGACAAGTAACAAATGAAAAGTCTGCGTACTGAGCGGCAAACAGCAATCCAAACATCCTTACGTGAGGGTTGGGACATTGAAAAGTATGTTGAGAACAATTCTGGGACTGTCGGTGCTACTGATGTGTTAATATTGGGAGGCTGAGTAATGAGGCTGACCGAGAAGAGATGACAGATGAATTATGGAAATGTGCAGAGCAATCTTTGGATAGGGGCAGCTGCTTTCCATTACGGGAGTCGGGAAACCTGGCTAAGGCAGCCCTATCCCATCAACTGCTAGCAGCAGGGGGAAGCCGTTGAGGCAGAAAAGCATCTTTGCCTCAAGAAATCTTGCTTACTTTTTGCTGAGCCACAGTTGCCTCCTGTTAGTATCTTCTTCTGCTTTCTTCACAGAAGCAGAATTAGAATGAAGTCTATCTCAATGCCAACATTCAGCTGATAGAACCTCATTGCCTTTTTTTAATCTTTTGAAGGTTGGTTTGATGACAGTTGTGTAACACTGTCTGCATAAGAGAATGTTACAAAGGTAAACAAGTTACACGCACAAAATGGTATGGGAACGTAGCTTACTGCAAAATCACAAAATCAAGCACCCCTCACGTTTTTTGCATGGTCATACAGGTTCTTTAAGCTTTGCTAGTGTAAAAGAGAAGAACATTTCAGCTTTAGATTGGCTTTTTTTTTTTTTTTTTTCTTTCTAAAAATATGCAAACCCAGCTGTTTTTGAGACTGAAGCTAATTTTTTTTTTTTTTTTTTTTTTCCTTTGAAAGCTCTGCTCTTCTAGAGGGAAGCTGAGGTGGTTGTCAGGGATGTCACTGCAGAGATTCACCTTAGTTTACCTGTTACACAACTTACAAAAAAAAATAAAAAAATCTCACAATGTGCTTGGAGGCTTGAAGTGTTTAGATTGTCCGTGTTGGGGGAAGTTTTCTTTGGAGGTTTCTTTGGGGAGCTAACCACCACGCCACCCTGTCCCCCAGCTGGTCTGTGAGACTGTTGGATGTGGTGTCCTCACCGGAGTTTGAACCACACCAGGGACGTCCCCAGATCCCTGCTGCATGAGGTTTTAGGAGGCAATGACAGCGAGGGGGAGGTTGCCTTGCACTGGCCTGGATGCTGAGGATGTCCCAGGGCAAAGCACCCTTCACTTAACTTGGGGTACAGCTTTACAAGAGGTCCATGGTTGCTGATGAGTTTGACTCTCTGACTTCACCTCGATCCTTCACAAGCTCTGCACGCTTAAGAAGAAATGCAGAGTCACAGAGAAGCACACCAAACGGTGAGCGGGCAGAATGCAGGTTATCCTTAAAGCCTTACAGCAGCTCTTTTGTTACCTCCGAAAAGCTCTTGCTCTTTTCTCACCGGTCCCTGCCTCCCTCTGCTAGCGTGCAGAGCAGCACGAGCGCAGCCCCTCTGCGTGCTGCTCGGCCCGAGCAGCGCTGGGTCGCCGTGTGTCACAGCAGCCTGTGTGTTTTATCCACGTTCTAGGATGTTTTCCACCGTTCTTGGGAGATGGAGAAGTATTTTCCCCTCTTTGAAGCGTACGCTCAGCGTGAGACCCCAGGACCTCACATTTAACAGTGTTCGGTGGTGGGTAAAATGCCCGGTGTGCTCCAGGATTCCTTCAGCTTCGGTTACTGCCGTGCACATTCAGCATTTCTGCCGATGGGGATTTATGGGGTATCAAGTCAGCCACCCAGAAAAGGAGGAACACGCATTACAACCTCTGCAGCTTTTTTAACGAAGGCGGCAAGGGCTCTGCAAGTCGCTGGCTTCCTCTGCTAGTTTTTCCTCGATTTTTTGTTTTTTTCTTACCCTGTTTTTTCTAGAACACCACCGAGGACTAATAAGTCCCCCGGGGGAGGGGGGTGAGCGTAGGAAAATACAGGATCATAAAATTAAAGACTATGAGAATACATACGCACGGAAAAAGGAATTTATACTGCACAGAGTTACGGTTCCAGCCTTTCCTATCTTCTAAGCATCTGACTTTGCAGCCCTAATAATAATCTTTTAATGCAGGTATGATTTTGTGTTTGCATAATAATGCAGCTAAATTTGGTTTAATTCCAAGGCATGTGGGGAAGTAAGAAGATTGATGCCCAGAAAGTTTTTGTGATGGAATTTTACTGAAGAGTGAATGTTACGTAACATTTCAAACGCGCTGCGATCCTTCAAGATGAAGTGTGTGATATAAATGTAAAATATTTGCAAACTATAATTTAGCAACCGCTGTAAAATCGCAGTCAGCATTCCAACCTCTTCCGTGCGGTGGGTGAGATCCTTTGTCAAGCGAGAGCTGAGGGCAGTGAATGTGAGATTCATTAAGTAATTAGATAGGAACATTAATTTCAAATTAATTTCAACAGTTGTCTCAGACATTAGCAACCAAATTAAGGAGACCAAAGGCAAACAGTAATGCGGCTTAATACTTTTAATAAATGAAGGCATTTGAAGTGATTTACATAAATCTGATGATGAGCCCTCATTTAATGGGCTCCCAGATGCTCCCTGCCTCCCCTTCCCGTTCACCTTTGCACGTTTCCAGGATGTGGCCACGCTCCTCGTCTCCCCAGCTCCCTCATTACCTCGGTCTTTTCTCAAACCCTCCCTACACGGGCTCCCTAATAAATGGCCAGGCTTTCTGGGATTTGTTAGCGCGAGCTGGAACCTTTTAGTGCTTCTGAACCTGCAGCGCTGCGAGGCACGGGGGAGCAGCGGAGCCACAAGTGACAAGGCCCCCAGGAAAATAAATGGTGGAGAATAAAAAAAAAAATAGCAAAAAAAAAAAGAAAAGGGAAAAAAAAAAAAAGCAGATTAGGGTATTGGGGGCTGCTTGCCTCTGGGCAGGGCAGGGAGATGAAAACCAGCACATAGGCAAGCGAATGGGTCACATGGAATGGATAATGACCAGCCCTTTTCATCTGTCCTGCTGTGATCTCAAGGCCCTGGATGAAAAGGAGCAGGCACTGCTCTGGGTTGGCGTGGCACCTGATGGAGGCACGGCCGCCCCATGGGTTGTTCGGGGTGCAGCATAGCCCTGCCAGCACCCCACACTTCGGTCACCCACCGTACTTCAGTGGCAAAGGCGTAACAACTCCGCTGGTGCTCAGCTCAGCACCGCTGTCTTGCAGCAGAGCGAGCTGCTGTGGGTCCGAGATGCCCACAGAGGGGTGGGCAAGCTCTAAACCTGTGTCCCCCGGCCTTGGCTCAAGCCTGGAGGTATCACAACAGTTAAAAGAGTAATAATAAACCAGTTGGTAGAGACTTGATTGCAACTCGGTGGAGCTGCAGAAAGTGTGTGACTCATCTTAAATAGAATATATATATATTGCAGTTATAAATAGGCTCCTTTTTGTGGTTGCAATGACATATTTAGAAATTGCTGTTCTTTTTAAAAATAACTTTGATGTTATACAGATATTTGGGGCTTGCAGGCTGCATTGTTTATGGAGAAAATCCACGTTTCAGTGGTAACTTTTTGTCACACCAGGTATGCAGGGTAGTTTTACAGGCACAGCATCGGACTCAGTTCCCCTGCTTGGAGACTCTGAGTGAGCCAGAAATGATGCACTGCAGGAGAAGATGGAAGGGGTTGTGATGGTCATCAGTAAAGCTGCCTCAGCTGGGGAGTCAGGAGAAAGGAAAGAAGAGGCTCCCAAGTGAAGAGGTTGGGAAGGAGCAATGGATGATCTGGTTCATCTTCAGGGAACAAAATGTACGGGATCCCCTTTGCCTCTGGATTGAAAAGTCTGATGCGAGGTGAGTTCTCCTAGCCTGATGAAGAGCACATCTGAAAGGCAGAGGGAACTTGGTGCATTTGGTTCTCTGGGAGACAGCTGAGTGGTGGTCTGATCCTAGCACTCAAGTTCCTCTATGGAGAAGAAAATTGTCCCACAAGAAGATGGTTTTTTAACCACACAATATGGACAGTGAGACTGGAAGAATGGAAGTTGAAGTTAGACAAATTCAGGACTATTTCAGAGCACGAACCTACAGGAAACAGCAAGAAGGAAGGAAGGGCACAGTGAAGGCTGTTAACTTGTGTGGCTGTGTGC